CGTGTCGCGCAAAGGAAGAGAGAGAGAGAGAGAGAGGAACGAACAAAAAAGAGAAAACTAAGACCCTCTCGGTTCGAAAATGAAGCGGTACTTATGTCGGCGGAGTTTTAACACAGTTTCTATCGCTCGTCAGTGGCAGCCGATGTCGTTGTATTCGTTGTATGTTCTACTTCTTTTTTTTTTTTTTTACGTCTACTGTATACAGTTTTACGCCTTATATATCTATGTAGGAGAATCGCGTACGCACTCGTTATATTAGGATATATACTTTCGAAGCTGCCACTGCTGGCCGCGCGGCTGCTGAAACCAAGGAAAATCGAGGTGACGAAGAAGAAACAAAGGAAACGAAGCGTCCGGGATGCCGGCGCGCGTAATTACGGGGCTCCCTCCTCGCGATTACAGGTACACGAACGTATTCGACGTATGCGACGAAGACTGGGATAATACTGCAGGTAGAGAGAAGACGGCTATATATTCGAAACTTAATTAATCAGGTAATATGTCGGTAATATAATCTACGTACACAAAATGTCGTGATATAAAATCTACGCTTATACCCAGTAGATCAACAACAAGATTACGTCTGACTTCCGCTACACCAACTCTACCCCGCGGTTTGACATAGCATTATCGGTAATATTATTATCCTTATTATCGTTATTCTGCCTGCTGCGTTTTGTACAAGAGTACTCGGTGTGCGTGTTGTGTGTGTGTGTGTGTGTGTGTATGTGTGTGTACGTGTTTTCTGTGTCTCTGTGTGGAATAAACGTGTGGCTTCCCTGCGCGATCCTTCGGGAACCGCTGGACATCGTTGGGACATTGAAAGGACGGGCGATTTGCGGAATTACAATTAATCAAGAGACGTCTAAAAGGTATTATTGACTTCGATTACACGCTATTAAGGACACCCTCGAATTGATCGATGTTCGCGGCGCGCCCGTACTCGAAAAAAGAGGACGCGCTTCCTCGCCCCACACCGCGCACCTTTTTAAATACTACTAATAATTGCCACAGATAAATTGACTCTAACGACACCGGTCCCCGAACGATCGCCGGCGTGCAAGCCGATCAAAGGCTACGGCAAAAAGTCACCGGAAATTATACCGGGCAGATTTCCAAACGAACTCAAATCCATCACGTTCCGTTCGTTGATGCTCGAGGTAGCGAATTTCGCGCGTTCCTCCTTCGCCAGGAGACGGATTTGAAGCTCGGATCCGAAAATTTCCCTTAACAAATGACTGAAATTTCAACAATGAATGTTTCTCGTGAGCTATCGTCGTCTAAGAACGCTAGAGTACTTCCGAAAAGGTCGAAATCGATAATTCTCGATATTCCCCAAACGCGTCCCTGACGAGTGCCCTCTTGCTCTCGCTTCTTCCGCATGCGAATGAGAAAGGAAGTTCGATGTAACCCCCCCCCCCTCCCCTCTTGCGTTGACCGATACGGCGCGCTGTGGTTGATCGCGCGAAAAATCGGTAGCGAGACTGGTCCGCTTAACGAAGATTCTAATTGTAAGACGCCATATCGGCGCTTCCTAAGTTCTGGAAGCCGTGCGTGGACGCGTTCGATGCCGCGGACATTCGTGTTAACTCACTCGAATCGGAAATTGCTCACTTTCGACACCGAACGCATCGCAAACGCTGTATTTAATGCTCACATGCGTAATTATCATCGCTCTAACGCGCTAACAATATAACGGATAAACGTAATGAACAAACACGTTGAACGTTCAAATAGTCATCTAAGCCTTCGCATTATTATATTATATTATATATATATGTATATACGCTAAATTTAATCACACTAAAGCGTCTGCGCGATCCTTGCGATCTCATACGGATCGCGTACCCGAATTCGTCCCAATTAAAGAAACGGTGCGTCGTTGTCGCTACGATTATTGCAGCCAAACTGTATACACATCGACGGAATGCTCGCAGAGTTTTGTACACATATAAGAAAATTTTAGAAATCGTTAAAACATACCCACGTTGAGACATCCAACATCATTCGTTTAATAATTTAAATAAATTTTTTTCAACACTTTTTAATTAACACGAATATTCCACTTTTTGATTTTTTATTCTCATTATATATCTAAAATCCAACCCGCAATGGAGAAAATATTAGGAACAAATATAAAATATTAAGGATAAGGAATTATTTAGTTGAAAACAAGAAAATGAAATGTATGTAACGCATGACGAATTAACAATTAAGAATTAGGAATAATTAATACATTTCGCTCCCTTGTTTGAAGTAAAATAATTCCAAATTGCTCTTTCTAATATTTAACATTGACTTCTATTCCCATTTTCTCCATCGAGCATTGGGCCTAACTCTAGACACGTAATTATTATTTTAAAAGTTCTTTTTAATTATCTTAACTAGTTTGCTCCACGTTGATAAAAAAGATATGGTTGAGTGAAACATGCTAATCCCCGTTCGAGGATTAACAGAGCTAGCAAAGTAAGGATGTGAACCGAGATCGGTATTTGATCATTAGAGATTCGACGTATTCCCCTGCGACCCCCTTTTCTCCTGCGAGAATTCCGTTACGCAATGAGCTTGTTATCGATCCCGGTACGCTCGAAAGATCAAAGGATCCCGGAAGCGGAGGTACGCCGCGTTAAGTTTCCTCGTGGCTCGTGCAGTTTACCCCTCTTACCGAAATTGCAACATCGAAAATCGGTGTCTCAAGGAACGCGCAGTATATATAGTACTGGTTGTAGATACTTTCATCGGATAAGGCTGCGTTAATTATTGTCTCTTTCAGCGCTCGTTCGTCCTCGTGAAGAACCAACCTCGCCCTCCCCCTGCCACCCCGGTCTCCCTTCTGGCCGCGAAGTAAAATTTTGCTTGCTCCTTTCGTTCTCGCGTCAGAAAATTCGCGTGCAAATTTTCGTTACACTTTAAGCAAGATTTTGAGCTTTTTTTTCTTTTTGAAAAACATGATTTTACACTCACACTCACGCTAACAAGGGATCTCCTTTGATCTCGCGAAGTTTCGTCTTTCTTGATCGTTCGAGAATTTGTCGAAACTATGATCAAGCCACAGTCGTCTTGATAAATTTTACTTTGCCCCTCCTTTTTCCTTCGCGTCGCGACAAGAAATATTTAAAAAAAAAAGTACAAACACTTCGAAAGATCGTAACCACGATCGGACTTGTATAAGGATCGCGCTTAACATTGCAATTCCAAAAGAATTCCTCGCGCAATCGGATACTTGACGTTCTTAACGCAGTCCCGTAGGAACTTGAATTTCGATTTCCAACAATTCGCACAGCACTTTTAACAGTCTTAACATTTAGCCGCAGACGTGACGCTCCTAAGATCTATTCTAACAAGCCATAATCTCTACTGCTTCTCTTAGCCTAATGTTAGGATATAAAACGATTAATTGTCAAGACGCATTCCTTCCATGGTACTCAGGCATTTGCGCACTGTATAAAATGGCTGTAGTGTCTTTCATCGATTCGAGAAACGTTTCGCACGACGACGTACAACAACAAAGTCTGTGGCTAAGAGTTAAGATTTTTTTTTTTTTTTTGTAACAAACTTCACAACGAGATTAATTTAAAGCCGATTTCTGATTTCAGCAGACAATCGCCGATAAATAGTAATTACACTTTAATATTAATAATTGTATTGTCTGTCCAAGAACTTCCGCCTCGATTCTCAATTACGTTATTTGAAAAAAAAAAAAAAGAAAGAAAAAGTTTAACAACTTTCTCGTACTTTCACTCGATTGTGGAAAATCCGGATTGATTGGACGCGTAGTCGAACGGAAGCAAGCAAAATACTTGGTCACCTTCGGTAGCACCAATGAGATACAATGCCTGTGTACTCACGTGCGAGCACGTATTGTCTGAATTCTCTACGGCAGCCCAGAAAGAAAGAAAGCTGAAGCACGTTGCTCCTAAACTAAGAAACCTCGAGCACAGTCGCGTCGACTCCATAGCAAGCTAATATCGTGCTTCTTCCGACATGCAGCTACCATCTAAGCTTTTTTCTCCTCTCGTTGCCTCTCTTTTTATTGCGCAAAAGGGAGAAGGGGGAAGGGACGTACGAACGAACGAAGTCGCTGAGTATTTACGACGAAACTACGATCGCGCGCGCGCATCATCGTCCGCGATCCAATCGGGCGGAGACGACGACTTCTGCTCCGAACGATCGTTCCGCGTTTTGAGCAAAGCAAAAAGGTCGGAAACGAATAAGGCGTTTTGTCGCATTAGAACTTGCTGGGGCATACTGGGGGATTCATCTGGCCGAAGACGTTGAGCTCGTAGAGCGATGCGAACACGATGAATATCAAGTACCAAATCATCAGGACCACGCCGTATCGTCGGTCCAGCTTCCAGCCGTTCATGTGTGTCGCCACCACCAGGAACACCACCGTCGACAGGAGGGAAACAGTGGAATACGTCAAGCCTGATGAGAACGAGGAATTAGTAAACAGCATGAGCTTGCACGATATAACTTTGCAGATGCGTAAGAAAAGAATTCTAGCGGACAATCACATCTCAATGCTGATAATTGTTGCATTATCCTTCGGCCTTCTTAATTATGTCGTGATTTGAAAAAAATTCAGAACCTTTTATAATGCAATAAAGATGCAACCAAAATCCATTACCTCTGCTAGTGACGTTGACGTGCGAGCCGGGTTGTATCATGGCGGTCTGTATGAACCACGGGAGGCCGAGGCACACCAGAATATCGAAGACATTGCTGCCCACAGCATTGCTCACCGCCATGTCACCGAGGCCTTCCTTTATGACTGCCAAGGAGGAGAGTGCATCCGGCACACTTACGCCAGCGGCGACGAAAGTCAAGCCCATTACGGTGTCCGGGATGCCGAGGGTGCTTCCTGCAAAGTCGTCGCTTTGCTAAATCGTTCTATTCGCTGAAAAATTATCGTCGATCGTAATGGAGCAACGGCGTTTACCTATAATCGTGATCATCCACACCATGATGTAACTGTAGAAACTGATCCAGATCATTGATATACAGAAGGTGAAGGGGTACCAGCTCCGCCATTTCTCCTGCCGGCAGTCCGGCATCGTCGCCCGGCACATGAAGTGGATGGGATACACGAGACCCCAGGTGAACAGATTCCATTTGTTACCGTCCGTTGGCATCACAAGGGGCGACACTTCGTTGGGATCGGGTTCCTTCGCCTTGTAATATTCGGGCTGCCTCGGTGCCGGCGGCTGCTGCTGCTGCTGCTGCTGCTGCTGTTGCTGCTGCTGCTCGCTTGTTTCTTGAATTCCATTTCCTTAAAGGAAACGATATGACGCTCACCGAATCTTAAAGAAGATACGCTAAAAGGAAATGAGTAGGAATATTGGATTTTTACCTTCCTGATTCTTCATCTGCTCGGTGACCGGTGAGTTGGGGCCGGTGTAGGACAATCGATCCTCTTGCAAGGATCTATAGCTCACCAGGGCGCTCTCCTCGGCCGGCTCGTCGTCCTTCGGCAGAAACGGAATGTTGTACGATTTCGCCCAGCGTTCCAATTTGACGTTGAACGAGAGTGCCACGCAGTAGACTGCGTACATCACCAACATGAACAACGATTCCATCCTGAAAAATTCCCCGTTTTAGTTTCGCACTTTATTTTGTCATTAATTTTCATTCCTCCGATCTTCTTTCGTCATTCATCTTTATTCACGATAGCCGACACTCACCAGGATATGGACTCGTTGTAGATAGTGCCGAGCATCACGAGAATCGAGACGGCGTAGAAAAAACAATCGCGGCAGAGGGGCCACCAGTTCAACTTGGCGGCCGTCGCGGAGCACAAGCCGCAGATCGATATAACGAACATTATATTGAAAACGGCGCTGCCAATAACGCCGCTCACCTAAAACGGACGAGAAAAATTTCATTATTGAATTCTTGCGCTGTTCATTATCGCAGATGTCTGACGCGATGTCTGACTCTTAAACGTGAGCTGCGGCCACATTGATGCAATAACGATTAAAAAGTACGAACAATTTGCTCGCGTGTTACGTAAGATTATCATCATCGTGGTTTGCGCCGCGCGATGTTTAATGAACGCAGCGAGGCGTGCGGAGCGCAATCAAGCTGATGTACTTACTCCGATGTCATCTTTGGCGAAGAACACGCCGATGATCACCGTCGCCAGTTCGGGTGCGGAAGAGCCAGCCGCCATGAAAGTGGCTCCGGCAACATCGGGAGACAATCTTAATTCTGAAAAAAGAAACATAATAATGTTTATATAATCAAAGCGCGAAAAGCTTCTCCGAAGTAAACGAATCTGGCCAAATATGTCGGTAATCTAAAAACAAGGATCTCTATTTTCAATAAAAATCAATTAACTACGTTGAAATAATAATATGATTTTTTAGTAAGAATTATCGTGGCAGATCTCGATAATGTAGAATGAAACGTAATATTCTCGTGTAAAAACTGCCCGTATTCGCGTTACGTCAGAATTCAACACGAATACAGAACTATCGCGTTACACCTGAAAAAGAAGATTTTACATCGGCAAGTCTCGTCTCACCTTCGCAGATTCTATCCAAACTCGAGACGAAGTAATCATCGCAGACAATGGCGAGGCCTAGGAACGTGTAGATAGCGACTACAACGTGTATTATGAGTCCACCGCTTTTCCTCGCTTCCGGGCCCATCAACGGCCGCGGAAACTGTTCAATGGCGGGCGCCGAACAATTGGTTCTACGCGGCCTCACAGTCGGATATGGGTACTTCGTCGTGGCCGCCTGAGTAGCTGGTGTGACCTGTGTTGTTTAAAAAAACAAGGATAAATTGAAAAAGTTTGTTATTAATATTAATCTATTTCTTATTTTTAAGTTCATTAGTAATACAAATCGATGGATTTATGTTATTTACAATTATTCGAAATCAGTCGTTACAGCTACGTCTGCGGAAGAATACGTGAATCGTGATAACAACAATATTAATTTGCGGTGGAAGTATCCGATGTGTCACACCTGCGATGCGAGTGTGTTACGCAATTCGCGCCACGCATCGTATGTCACGTTGGGCAGATATCTGCATCTTGATTCTAATTTGCACAACAATCTCTGATCTTGTTTTTTCGGTCCACCTGCGCTACGCGATGGGAGAGGGAGATGCCAGCGTATCGTCAGTTTAAAGAGTTCGCCGATTGATATTCGAATTAATTTGAATTAACGCAACACAATTCATTATTATTTTATTTTGTAATCAATATTGGGTTATTGAAGATATATAAAACTAATAAAAGATTTTAAAAAAATAGTTAAACGTGCCAGTGACTTCTTACAGTAAACCAGCATAACGCGAAGCCCTGCGTGCAGTGGACCGTGAAGTTTCAACAAAACAAGCTTAGAGGCCATTGTTCAGATTAAAATCGAGATGCGGATGTCGTGCAGCGCGACGCAGAACGCGCGCTTGTTACTCACCGTGGTGGTGGTTCGGCTGTGCTTCGTCGAAGATGTCTCCGCTTCCGTCCTCGTCGTTTCCTTCGCGGCTTGCTTCGACTGGTCTCGCACGTCATTCTTCGCGGGATTGATTTTCGCGCCTGCATGCCCCTTCGTTTCACTTTTCGATCTTTCGGCTTGAATATCCTTCCTCGGCTCCTCCGAGACCGCCGATGACACCTCCACTTCCCCCTCGGTGGAAGCGGGCAAGGACTCGGTCGACGACCAGCCGTCGGAGCTCGACGGCATCACCGTCGTCGTCGTCGTTGTCGTGATCTTCGCGGAGGCGACGTACTGCACGAGAATGTAGATCAGGAAGAGACCCAGTCGCAGCGGCCATCTCCTGCGACGTGCCTGCAGATTACGCGGCCTGTACCTCATCGCCTGCGACTGGAACAAATGTCACGAATTAAAACAAACCAAGTGGCTTGACACTAAAAACTTCATGCACTTTAAACGGCGGGATCGAAATTGATTCCAAACAATTTCACTCTTCCAATCAGTCAAGTTGTTGCGTGTGTATAAAGATGAAAGCCAGTAGTTCATAAAAATGTCTATTAATTTATCTTGAAAAAAAAAGAACAACCCCTTCGTTCTTCTAACATTAAATTGCCGTAAGCGTGCCTCAATGGCCATCGATTTTTTTTATTTTTTCTCCTTCCTTTACGTGAGAGAGAAGCTTATTCCCGGACCAATTATATGAAAAATAAATCCTTTGTGTGTGTGTGTGCGTACAAAAAGGGATCTAGAGACTAGTTAAACTGATCACAAGTTCATCCAAGTCGCATCGAATTACCGAGAGCCCATTAAGAAGACACGAGCGATGAACGATACGCGAAATATAGCAAGCCCGCATGATGCAAGTTTCAGTCGATTTTAGGGTCGACAATCACACGTCGCTTCTCGCGGCCTTTACACCGCCGACTCATTTTATCGACGTCCGTTAAATGGCATGTTTTCAAGTCCAATCCGGTATAGCCGTGTTTAGAAACTGTTTCACTTGCATGTTCATTATGGATATTGATATCGCGTGTATGTGGACATACATCTGTGCGGGCGTAAAGAAATCGCATAGCGTGTCGTAGGTGTAACACAGGCGTGGGTGACGTATGTGTGTGTGTGTGTGCAATGTGCATATTTGATGTGTGTCTGTAGGTACGCGCGCGTGTATGTGTGTGTATGTACATAGCGCGGACCTCTCTGAAATAACAAAACCACCATCCGCATGTGTATGCTGTCATCAAATCCAATGCGGCTGGGTAAATCAATGATACTTGTCGCATGCGTAAACTATACCCTCTAAGAAAAGCACCATCTGCAAACGCCCCGCGCTCGCGTTTTCATTTCGATCGAACATAAACAAACGCTCGGCGCGATGATCGCCCGCAAAAGCGTCTCGATTATTCCATAAATAATTACGCGCGCGCAATGATCGCAATCGCGAGCTGCGCGCATACAGCAGACTCGGAATTTCCGATGCAAAAATGCTGCAATATAATTAAATATAATATTGCAAATGCGCTGCAATATAATCGCGCGTGAAATATAATCTCAAACGAGGCGTGCTATTATCGGCGCACTTGAACATAATGGAACGCAGCATAATGAAAAATCGCACGCATTCCACGGGCGTAAGTGGGAGTCTTATTTGCGCGGGAGCTTTTAGGATAATTTCTCTTATATATGCATACAGGGATAATTCATTACATTACGCAACCGACGTGCATGATTCATTAGGGATCAAAGACATAAGGCGGTGATGCGAATAGAGGTAGAAAGTCGGAAGAGACACGATGCGCTCAGCACGTGTAATCTTGTAATGCGTACATGCAACCTATTTACGGAAAGTGACAAGCGCACTCGAGCGCCGGTACTGGCATTGAATTGTCTAATCGCCCACGTAAAATTAAATTCACACACACACACACACACATATGGAGAATACGTAGATATATGCGCACGTAAATATAAGGGGTGTCCAGCTGTAATGTTTTTCAATGACAGACCTTTTTTAAAATCGAGAAATATTCGAAGCAGTAATCGTCCACGCTTACAATTTTCAGCCAATATTACGAGTTTGCAATTTTCAACATTATTTTCACATCCTCAATTGAATCGTGGAAATCTATTAAAATGAGATTTATTGAGCAATTTGATTCTAAAGCACTTATTTGGCTCCCCGAGGCTTCGTTTCCGAGAAGCCCTTTATTTTCATAGATTGACATTTTCAAAGAATTATCGATCAGCTGAAATGTGTAAGCGGTTAAAGGAACTATTTCGCGGACACTCTGTGTATATCAGATAACGAGCTGACAAGTAATTTTCGTAATGCGATCCGCACAATCGAATGCATCTGCTGTAAGTACAAAACAGAATAATGCAAAATTAGCGTTTATCAGCTTCACCCGTGTGCGACAGAGTAGCAGAGTGCTGTTAAATAAATCTTCTTTTTGAACAACAATTATTTGTGCGATTAACATTTACGCCGGTAAACAACGTTTTCCGGAGTTTACGCGAGAGAGTTTATATCATAAACTATGTTCTACCAATAATTATAAATGTAACAAAATATTTGCTCCTATATTCAGTCGCTTGCGTCAATACCGCGATCGAAATTTCGATAGAATTCTGTTAAATAATCAAGCGAATATATTTCATCTTTCCAGGTATTTTTTGATAAGCAGAAAAGTGTCTTATTGCAATAAATTGTTATTACAGTATTGTAATAAAATTAATTATTGTAATAAAAACTTCTGCAAATAAAAAAGCTAATATATTTTCAATAAAATAGTATCTTTAGAGAGCAAAAAATAAAAATCCAATAACTCTTTTTTTATATAAAAAAAAAATATTTACTTGATGAAAGAGTTATCTTCTTCGCGTCTCGATCAAGATCCACGTGCACGATCCACAGATTCAATTTGCCAATTAGAAAGATTTTCGAAAACAACGCGACGTTAATTAATAACTGTTTCCAGAGAACGCATATTCCTTTGCAGTTCTTAATTGGACGCGTATAGAGAGATCGTCGCGCCGGAAGATATATCGTTGACCCAATATCGGAAATCTACCCTCGCGATCGTTCTCTCGCCGATAACGGAAGTTTCGCTACTCGGGTACTCGTGCACTATTTGTCACGGTTTGTATATTACATGACAGCCATTGTACAGTCCCTTTGCAGAAATTTTCACAAGCTTCGCGAATGGCAAAAGCGAGAGAAAACTTTAAAATTCTGCAGTTTCAAAGTTTTCGCTGGAAGTATTTTCATTGCAACAAAGGACGCATTATACTCAATATTAACAATGAATTAATCTTCAGAAATCTGCTTACAAATTCTGTTTAGAGAGCAAATACTTTCTTGTTAATTTTTTCTTTCCTTTTTCTCGACGGAAAATACATTGTTCAACCTCAATTTTGCTGTTCAATTAAGCCCTTAATTAAGTCATCAAACTTACGCAACGAAAAATTGTGTTAAAAAATGACCTAAATTCGACAGCTCACCCTATCTTTCTCTTGCATCTTTCCACCGAATAATTCACGAAGATGCATCGTGCCTGTCAAAGAAGAGGTATGTTCGTCCTAATTATATTTTTTACATTTATAGCCTCTCATTTATATTCCTCCTCAATTATTTATGCGCATGCACATTCATGCTTGCAAGCTATCTTATCTTAAGAAAATCGAATGCAGCCGAAACACACGGATTTACGAATACTTCCTCGCGATTACGAAACCACCGGATCACGCTACCGGAAACCGATGAGCGAAGTGAGGCGAGCGAAGGGATCGTTATCACACGGAAGTCGCGGGTAACAAGCGACGAAAGTGACCCAATTTCTCGCGTTTGAAATCAAAAAGAGCCGAAACTCGGCGCTCGCATCCGGCTTACCCCTTTGTCGCCGTGAATCGTCATCGTCCGTCGTGCTGTCGCTCGTGGTCGAGAGTCCCGCTCCAACCGGAAGACCCGAGAGTGCACGTCGGTGCGCCGGATAGCAGTGCGCGGCGCTGACAAAATAAAACGAGGGTGACGGTGCGCGCCCGCGGAGCCTCTTGTCACTTTCGGCGCGTAAATCCAGCGAGAGAGGAGGAGGAGAGGGTTGGTGCGTGCGGATCCTTATTGCGTCTCACCGTCGCTCGGCGAGACGATGACGTCCGGATCCTTTTTCTCTCCACGTTCGAATTATCGATTCGAACGTCGTCCTCGGTCCCTTGAGCACCGATCGCGCGCAGTCAACCAGATCAACCGGCGCCCGGTGTGCGCGTTCCACGATCCTTGCGACTGCAGCAACTCCCGGCCGTCCTTCACTGTCGCCGTTGCAGCGACGGCCTCGCCGCCTCGCGTACGGCCATCGTGCGTGTGTCCACGATACGAATCCACTCTCTCTCTCTCTCTCTCTCTCTTCTCCCC